TACAACTCCAAAAGGGACCCATTTCAGATTCGCTTTGAACCTAGTCCTTATTTGGGCCTTCTGGTTTGATTTCTATTTCATTGGTTACATTCTCCCAAAAAATAGATTTAATATAAGTAGGTATTTATAAAATATTTATTATACATTTTATGTAAAAAGTAAGTATTTCTTGATTTAATGGAAAAGTGTCTCCCCAACTTCAGTCTTTCACAAACTTGCGTGAGTTTTGCCAAATCGGTGAACTTCTTTTGTTTTATATTTTCGTTAAATCGACTCAAATTTTAAATCTCTATCAAATATCCATGAAACAGTTAACTTATATATGTGCTAGTTATCTTTTCTAATATTGCAATAAAACAAATATATGACTTTTAAAATATAAAAATAATCATCCACCTCTGAAACTAATAATACAGTATGTGTTAATTAAATTGCATTTAAATAAAAAATTTTTTAAAAATATTCACCCATGTGCCATTGAAAAGAGTCTCACTCATTTCAGTGGCCCACACACCATTGACGGAGAAATACTGATGTTCAGAACATTCTTTGATGTTTTTCTCTTTTCTCCCTCTTAGATTCCTTAGCTCTAACAAAGGTTTGTATGAGAACAGAAACTAGAGCTGTTCCTTATTAGGGAGAGAAGTGCTCTTAATTTTAAAGGACTCTCCCCACTTTCCCTCCCCCAGGCTCGTTTTCATAGAATACCAACATTTCTGAATTCACAAGCTCCTCATTCAAGGCTGACTCTTTCTTGACCCAGACAGTTTTCTCTGACATTTACTAATAACCATCTTAAGAGAACCATGGAGGCGGAATGCTTGGAGGTAAAGAAACACTTGTATGTCACAGCCCAGAGTGAATGACAAGACTGCGTTTTCTGGTTCCAACCTTACTGGGCCTCTTGGAGAGTCACTGAGTTTTGAATGGAAGTGGACCTGAAAAGACACTAGAGAAATAGCTCCTCCTTTCTTACAAATGGATGACTGAGGCCCAGAGGGGCAAAATGGCACATCTAGGGTTACACCGTTGGCTGGTGACAAAGCTTAAATCTTGGCTCACCTACCCAAAGCAAGGTGAGGACAGTCTCATGCTGGGAATCACAAAATCCCAGCATCAGAAATGGCTGCTTTCCAAAGAAAGAGGAACAAGTCCCCAACAGCCACTTAAGTCAAAGTCACTAGTGTGATACCTTCAGAATGATGGGAACATGTCAAACCACTCATGACCTTGAGCCCCCTTCACTATTAATTATTAAGGGGATTTCTAGCCATGACGTAAGTGCAAAATATAGATGGTTTTATCCTCCTCTGGTGCCCTGTTGCTCTACTCAGGAAACTCCTGTTCTGAAAACCAAATGCAGATCCTCTCTACCTTGTGCAACTGTGACAAATAACCTTGAAATGTCCCCATGATTCCATAACCAGGGGACCCCAAGCTACATGCCAAGTAGAAATTCTGAAGCTTTGAGTCCTGATTTTGTTTTTTGTTTTTGCCGGAGTTCAGGCTAGAAAGTTTTAATAAAACTCTAATGACTAATCAGAAGTCTGCGTCTCTCTTGCCTTATATGTGAATTGTAAAAGCCCAGACTACCAAACTACAATCTCAAAGCCATGAGTGTTTCCTACACTCTGGAAAGCTATACGGCACAAAGATGAGTCAGGGAGGGGGGACCAGTGGATAGCCCCCCACCTATAGCAGAAACATGGCATGACAGTTCAAAGCTCATTGGTTCTGTGAGGCTTTCCCAAATGGGAGAATTAATGGATCCCAACCATTAGGCCTCATGGCCCTTGGTACAGCCCGCCACAGTCCCTTACACTGTTCTTTGCTCTCTTGGAGACCTGTTGCATCTTTGGACAGCGAGTTCCTAGAGGGCAGGAGCTCTATTTTATTTTCCTGGATTCCCGGGACCTAGTGGAAGGAGGTGGCCCTCTGAAATCTGTTTTGGGGGAGATATGGACCATATTCTAGGGAAGCACAGAGTAGGGAAAAATGCCATGTGATGTAAACAGAGTGATTCATTCAGTTTTATGGTCTCACTGTGACAGAGAAGACATCTGAGCAGGGCTTTAAAAGACAAGTAGGAGTTTCTGGGAGCCATTTTGGCCCAGCCTGAGAAGCGACAGCGCCTACATCATGACAGCCCTTCCCCCACCTGGCACCTTGCGTCCGAAGGAGGCACACAGCCTTGTCTCGGTCTGTACGTTTCACGTATCCAAGCTAGGTGTCTGTGGAACTCTGGATCAGTCGTGAGCTCGTCAGTCATTGGCTAGTTTCCAGCTGGGCACGTTAAGGTTAAAAATACACGGACGTGGGAGGTAGAGGCATTTGTCAAAACCATTTCAAGGAGGCTTTATGGAAGTTCCAAGGAATGTGTGGGAGCAGAGAAGTCACCCTGACCCACGTACTTAGGCTTGGTGGAATGTGCCCAAGACTTCTTTGGGAAACCGGGACGCACCTCTGAATGTGATGTAGTTCTTGTAATGGTGTCCATGGTTACAACCTGCCCACAAAGACCCCCTTTTCTTTACCACTTACTGTTTTTTCACATTTAAAAAAAATTTAAATTCAATTCACATATACTGTATTACTCGTTTCAGAGGTGGAGGTCAGTGATTCATCCGTCTTCTATAGTACCCAGGGCTCACTACATCATGGAGTGCTTATTTTCTAATGATTGATAACACTGATTGACTATGTTAATTCCAGTTGTTCCTCTCTGCTAGAATGTAAACTCCATGAAGGCAGGGTCTTGTTGTATTGCATTGATGTATCCTGAGTACCGGGAGCCATGTCTGACACACATTGAGTGAGTGAATATTGACATGAGGAAAGATATTTGAATGAACAAACGATAGAATGCTTCTGCCCCAGATCTGAGCTCAAGTAACGGGAAAGACAGTTGTCTTGGGAGAAGTAGAACTCGGGAACGGAGGTCACAAGGATTTCCTCCAGAGACCCAGCCTCTGTCCAGAAGCTGCCTCCTTCCCAGTGGCTGGGCTGGCTTGTGCCCCACCAAGGATGTCGTGAACACACCTAAGCAACAGAAAAGTTGATGCCTCAAAAGCTCCTTTGAGTGTCTCTTGTTTAAATGTATCCCTCATCAAAAGAGGGAGCTGTGATGATTCAGGCCCGGAGCACTGTGTCAGGAGCCCTGGGTTCAAGTCCCGGCTATGTCCACGTCTAGCTATGTGATTTCAGGTCAGTCGTTAGCCCTCCCTTGAGCCTCTGTTTCCCGACTCATAAAACGGGGGCAGTGAACTCGTCTTCATGGCGTGCCTAGCGCTGCACCTCCTGATACCAGGTGGCCCTCCATGAGCAGTGTCAGGCCCATGGAGACCCTCTGAAAGCCCGGCCGTGTGGGTGGGTTCGAGAGCCTGTTTCCAAGCTGGTCTGTGGCTCTCCCCAGGAAAAGATCCAGCAACGCCCCATGAGTTTTGTTAGGGAGGTTTGGGCAGCACCCCCCGCTCCAAACCGAAATCCCCAGTAAGTCAGGAAGATGTATGTGTTTTAAAACATTGGGAGGTCTGCTTTGGATCACCCTGGAGCTGCGGCTTCCTGGAGCAGCTGGGAGTGAGTGGAGGGAAGCTGTTCCTTTGCTGGGAGTTCTCCGGGCTCAGTGCTCCGGTCCCACATGGGGGCTGTCTGCATTCGGCTTTGGCGGCCGTTGACTTTCAAATCATAAAAAGCCGCTCTCTACACAGTTTACTCTGTTGCTAGAAGGCAGCGGAACATAGGTATTAAAAAAAAAAAAAAAAAAAAAAAAGGCAGAAGAAGCAGCCGTTAATCCCGCCAGGCTTCTGGGCACTGGAGCGGTTGCGGATGACAAAAGTTAATTAGAAACATGAGCAGTTTAACTGAAAACACTTGTGACAATTGGAAGGGCAGCCTCTCCCGTTGGAGAATTTTTCCTGGGGAACCGTTGCGGGAGGAAGTTACTGCTCCTAGGTAAGTCGTGTCATGGTGACTTTGCAGACGCGGACGTGCCCTTTGGGGGCCGCGGGGCCGCATCCTGTCTGTCCCGTGGGGTAGGCGGGCATGGGCTGTTGGTGGCGCGACTCCAGGCTCAGCGGGGACTTGCCTTCTGGGCCACTTTCTGTCTGACAGCTGCCCTAATGCCTGTGACAGAGCGGTGCGGTTCTGAGCGCTCCCGGAGGAGGGCATCACAGCCCTTGTTCCTGGAATATGGGCCCCTCGCCGGGCAGGAGAACTCTAGTGTGGAAACTGCCCTTCGTAGAATCATTCGGATTCTCAGTTTGGAAGTATCCTGAGGCTTGTCTGAGCAGAGAGTCTGGCTGGGGAAACACTCCCCGAGCGCCAAAGGGGAAGCCTTGACTTTCCGATAACCTGTGTGTTTTCATGCCTCCGGTAAAGCGTGTGCAGTGGATACTCTGAAGCTAAAAGGTCTTTTTAAAGTCTTACCTGAATCATGTTTGTACCTCCTTCAGAGTGTCAGCATAGGAAAAACGTGTCTGCTTTGATAGGACCTAGCAACTTCCTCAGGTAATTATTCTGTAAAGATTATGCTTGGTTTCTCTTTCTTTTCTTCCCCCTGTTTTAATGTCTCTCCTATATTTCTTAAAGTTGGCTAATTCCCAGTTATTTCGCGTAACTGAGAACTCGGGTTGTGGGTTGAATAATTCATAACAGTAGGCATTTCCTACGTCTTTCCTACATACCATAGCGGCGATAGACTTTTTGGCTAGTTTGTGTTTCCGTAAATGTATGCTTAATTGTGCTTTGCACATGTTGGTGCTAAGATCCGTGCACATTTGCATGACAGATACCAGAATGTGCTGGTAACATGAACAGGGTATGATGGAGAGCAGCGGGCAGGTAGGATTTGAACCTACAGGTAAATGCACCAGGCGGGGGATGGTGTCATCTGGCATTTGGGTAGAGAGTGATGGGCCCTGGAACCATGGCCTGCCCTCCCGCACCCACAGCGCAGGTCCGTAGGCATAATTTGGGTTTCCTTCTCTTCCCCATCTCTGCAGAGCCATTGGCGAGCCCCGCCTCCACCCACCCCGGAATGAGCGAAAATGCACCTGCTTCTCTGGAGAGCGGCAGCAGTCCCAGCCCTGCAAACAGCAGCGCGTCCTCAGCCATCCCACAGCCCGGCGCTGCCTCCAAGCCCTGGCGCAGTAAGTCGGTCAGCGTGAAGCACAGCGTCACGGCGTCCGTGCTCTCGGTCAAGCAGCCTGTGCCCGAGGCCCCCAGGCCCGCCCCCGAAGCCATGAAGCCGGCCCCCAACAATCAGAAGTCCATGCTGGAAAAACTCAAGCTTTTCAATAGCAAAGGGGCTTCCAAAGCAGGCGAGGGCCCGGGGTCGCGGGACACGAGCTGCGAGCGGCTGGAGATTCTGCCCAGCTTTGAGGAGAGCGAAGAGATGGAGGTCACCGCGCGCTCGCTGTCCACGGCAGGTCCCGCTTCCAACAGCCCCAAGATTGCGCTCAAGGGCATCGCCCAGAGGACTTTCAGCCGGGCGCTGACCAACAAGAAGAGCTCCCCGAAAGGCAACGAGAAAGAAAAGGAGAAACAGCAGCGGGAGAAGGAGAAGGAGAAAAACAAGGACCTCGCCAAGAGAGCCTCTGTGACAGAAAGGCCGGACCTCAAAGAGGGGCCAAAAGAAGACCCCAGTGGGACGGTGGTGACTGAGATGCCAAAAAAGTCCTCCAAGATAGCCAGCTTCATCCCCAAAGGGGGAAAGCTCAACAGTGCCAAGAAGGAGGCTCCGGCCCCTTCCCACAGTGGAATACCAAAACCAGGGATGAAGAGCATGCCCGGGAAATCCCCAAGTGCCCCTGCCCCTTCCAAGGAGGTGGAGCGGAGCCGGGGTGGGAAGCCAAGCTCGGGGCTCCCCCAGCAGAAGCCCCAGCTAGACGGCAGACACTCCAGTTCCTCCTCCAGCCTGGCGTCCTCAGAAGGCAAAGGCCCTGGAGGGACCACCCTGAACCACAGCATCAGCAGCCAGACTGTCAGCGGGTCCGTCGGGACCACCCAGACCACGGGAAGCAATACCGTCAGTGTCCAGCTACCTCAGCCCCAGCAGCAATACAGCCACCCCAACACCGCCACCGTCGCGCCTTTCCTGTACAGGTAGGTGTCTGCCCGCCCGTCCTGGGCCGTGGGCCAGGAGCCTCTCTGGTGCAGTCTAGGTCTTGGAGGGCGGGACGCCGGCCTGCCTTCCAGGAACAGGCGAGCTAGCGGCTGAGGTGAGGCTCCTCATAGGGCTGTGCACCTGTGCTCGAGGGAGCAGTCAGCCCAGCATGGCTTTGGGGGGCAGCGGGAGGGAAAGCTAAGGAGCTGCCCCAGATGAGAAGGAGTTTGCTGGGCATGGGGGGACCCGGAGCCATTTACAGAAGCAGCCTCAGCACGGGCGGACACAGAAGCAGCCTCAGCACGGGTGGACACAGAAGCGGCCTCGGCACGGGCGGACACAGCGGGTGGTTTGGTGTCACCCGGCGCGACCAGCCCCAGCGTCAGCCCTAACGGGTCCCGAACAGGCTCCCAGAAATGAGCAACACGGAAGTCCCCTTGCTGGATACCTGGGGCTTCTTCTCACAGGTTTTGAACTTCTACACACTCATGGTTTCTTGCTGCATCACACGTAGTAGGCATTTTTTCAGTCCTTGCTGTGAGCTAGGCTCTTTGGACAGGCGAGCGGGAACGGGAGGAAGGGACCAGTTCTAGAAGAACGAAAGAACCAGGTTATACTGAGACAGGCCTGGATGTTGGCTTGTCTGACTCCGTGTCGCCCCGTCCCTGTCTGTCTCTAACGGCACATCCACAGGACCATGGGCAAGCCCGGGGAGCCAGGTGCTGCTCGCTCTGTGTGCTGGTGGCCCACGGCGGCCTCCGATGGCTCCGCCCACACCCAGCTGGCTCTGGGTGGTCCTTGACACGTGCAGATGAGTCCCCTCCAGCAGACAGAAGCTCCCTTAGCACTGCTTTTAAGGGCGTCCCAAGGCTTTGCTCACCGTGCTCACCTCGATCCCATATTTGAAATGCACAGCGCCTTTGGCCACTCTGCACAGCCGAATGTTCGTGATACCCCTGCCTGCCTGCCTAGCAGAAGGGGACCGGAGACTGAATGCCATGTCCTAGGCACTTCCTGTAAAGCCTCTGGCCTAAATACAGACATGTACACACGTACACACTCATATGCCCACAGGCACGGACGTACGTTGACAGTCACAAGTATGGACGCAAGTCCACCTTCTTGTACAAAATGCTAGTGTGCGTGTGCCCACGTGTATATACATCCCTGTTCATATGCATACACTCATGCCCACACTTTCAGCTTCCTGTGTTGACATGGTCCCCCAAAGACTTGGATATCCTCTCTCTCACTCCCCAAGTTGTACTCTGGGAGGCTTTGTTACCATCCCTACCAACGGCGGCTGGAAAGACTGGCCCGACTGATTCAGAGCAAAGCCCAGCAGGTCCAGCCAGGGAGGGAATGCCAGGCCTCTTCTCGTCCCTCTTTCCTTCTCTTCGGCTCACCCTCCCCTTCAGCAGGGGTTCATGCCCAGACTTTTTAATTGGGAGAAGGTCATCTCTTTATTCCACCAAGTCATCAGCTCAGCTAATGGTTGGAGAAGAGTGCCCGGGCTTAGAGAATGAATGACTCAGTGCTTGTGCGTCTCCACGCAGGGCTTTGAAGACAACTGTCCTCTGAACCGTGGAGGCAATTGAATTGCTCCCCATGAAATTTTTATCATCCCAATAACGTTAATAGTCTTGAGGTCACGTATATTCAAGCTCCTGCTCACAGAGTCTTGATTTGCATTTCCCAAATTAAAATATAGGATGGTCTTTGGTCACCATCCATTTCACTCCCTCTTTCTTTTTTTTTTCTGTAATCATTGGAAGGATTGTGAGACATTTAACCTCTTTTAAAATTTCAAGCTTTTCTGTGAGAGGAAAACTCTTAACGAAAGGGCAAATGTCTGACAAATAGGAGGAATGAGAAAATGTCATGCTCTCTGTCAAGCTGCATTTTCATGTTCACGTTCACCGCGTGCGATGTCCTTTGGCCCCCCTGACGTGCCTTTTCTTGTCAGGTGAACCAGGATGGGAATTGGGGCATCCGGGCTCTGTCTTTTATTAGCTGGTGACTCCCCGTGTAGTCTTGGGCCCTGCCTGTGGGGACAGCTAGGGAGACTATGCACCAAGTATGTGCAGAGACCCAGCAAAGGGCTTTCCGTGCCCTAGCCCATATAGTCACCCCGACACGCCATGAGCTAGCTATTTTTGAAATCCCCATTCTGTAGGTGAGCAAACTGAGGCTTATAGTAATTAAATAACTTGCACCAAGTCCAGAGCTAATAACTAGGAGAGCTGGTGTTTAAAACCAAGTCTGTCTAACTAGAGGGACCGAGTTCCTAAACACAAACCAGTTTCGGCTCTCTGAATCACTGCATCTCTCTGATATACCTTGTCCTCATCTGTAGAATGAGGAGACTGGATGAAATGTGGGGATTTTTTAAGAAAAATAGGTTAGACACCCCTTGTGCTCTGAAGTTCACTCAAGTTCATGGCTCACAGCAGACAATTTGTGCTGCTCCCCCCACCTCACCCCACACCCCCCCAGAATCTGTCCATGTTAGTGATGTTACCAAGCCACAAAAGAAAGATAAATCATCTTTTAAAATCACTCTGAATGAATTCTGTTTATCAATTCAGAAGTAACCCTGGACATCTATTACTTGACACTTGACCAAATGCTTCAGTGTCTTATCACGTGTGATTCTTGTAACAGCCAGGGGAGGTCGCTGTTGTAAGCCCTGCTGCACAGATGGGGAACCTGATAGTCAGAGGTGTGAAGTGACTTCTCAGAGGTGCAGGCTAACCTCCAGCCAGCTACAGTCCTACAGCCGGGAGGGTTCAGACTCCGAGTCTAATGCTCCTTCCCGTATCCAGCATCTTTCCAGACTTAAACATTTCTCATTTGTCCATTCATCACACCCTGCTGACCTCTACTGTCCAAGTGAACTTGATCAGCTCAAGTTCTTGCAGGTACATATCAAAAAAGCCAGTCTTTGCTTTCAGAGAGCTCAGTGGTTGAGGAAAGATGTATTAATTAGATCCCATTGTAATGTATCGGCATCAGATGAGTAAGAGCCCTGGAGAAGCACACAAGGGGAGCCATGAGCTAGCACCGCCCGGGGAGCCTTCCTGGCCAAGATGACATGGGAACTGCGTGTTGAAGGCAGATTGGATGCAAAGTGAGGAAGAAGGAGGAAAAGAGCCTTCGGGCACAGGTCCCAGTAACTACAAAGACATAACTGCTAAGGGCATGATGTGATCTCAGAATGGAGGGAAGGCTCAGGTGGAATATAGGGCCCCGGGTATGTGTAAAGGGCAGGAGTGGTAGAAGACAGGGCTGGGGATGAAGGAAGAATCCCCAATGGGGCATTGTCTTCCACAGTAAGGACTTAAGAACTTTCTCCGTGGGCAATGGAAACTATCAGAGGCCTTTCCTCAGAGGGATATGATCACCCCAGTATCACAAAAATCAGCGGAGGATGGTGTGGGGAGCAGACCAGACCTACAGGCAGTCTAGAATAGAGAGCATGGATTCAGATACCTGATTCAGACCCAAACGGTAATATAAATCAGCGGCTTGGGGTAATGAGACTGTGGCCTCGGCAGTTCTGGGCTTCTCCGGAGGGAGCAACCATCCCTTGGCACCAGCAGGTGGCGCCCTGCAAGAAAGTCAATCAGGACTTTCTTTGTTTTTATGGAAAAAGAAGAGAAAGGGACAAGGCAGAAATCCAGATATTTCTTGCGAAATCTCCCAATTTTAAAATGTTGAAACGAATTCAAAAAGCGTTAAAATACTACACAGACCAGTGAGAATCCGTGGGCTGGTTCCAATACTTGGCTGTGGTTCGCAAACCGTAGGCTGGAGGCAGTGTACCTGTTTACACCGTACTTCTAGGGCAGAGAGGATGAGACCTTGGACTCTGGCCAGTGGGTCCAGAGGAGCAGTGTGGATCCGAATATTCTCAACGGTTGGAGACAGCAGGAATTTGGAACTGATGGCTTCATTTGGAGGGCACAGGCGGGGCAGGATGGATGACGAGGTTTCCCAGTACGCCCCACACTGAAGACCGTTCACATTCTTGGCAAACGCTTTCTTCACAGAGAGTGAAATCTGGCTGAATGAGCTCAGGATGCTAATGAATTAATAAGGCTACACCCAGGGTTATGCATCTGAGTGCAATTATGCATTTGCACGCCATGCCGAAGTCAGCAGAGGTAATTATGACAAGAAGGCATTGCACGAAGCAGTTGCCTTGATTTGCTTGACAAATGAGGGCACGGAGAAGGTTTGGGGAAGTACAGATTTCAGTCAAGTGTTGAAATAATGGTCAATGCGACCTTTCATCTCAGAAGATCTGAGCTGTGAATCAGAGACGGAGAGGGCAAACACACCTGCTTGGCACCCACTCCCGACCGGTTTCATAGTCACCTCTTCAGAGAGAGCCATGTCAGGAGGATCGGGGGGGGGCTGTGGGGCTTTTAATGGAGTCATCTTTATGCTTGACTTGCTGGCATTGCTGAGTCCTCAGAAGTTTGCTCTTTGGCAGAGGTTAAATGATCCAAACCACGCTGTACTCTCCAGCGTTTTTCTGGCTAGACCTAGCTCCCTGATGGGGATTCAGAGAAGCTTCCCCAGTGAGGGCTTGCAGACCCTGCGTTTGGGCAATGAATATTTCATCTTTTACAGTTCGGTGGCTCTCTCTGTTTCTAGGACATTGCTCCACATGCGCCGATGAATTATTTAGAGTCAGTCTGCTGGTCTGCTCTGTTCTAAAGCTTCTTGTTGAAGGGAGTGGTGGTGGGTGGGTGCTGTGGTCAGACCACAGTGGTCCAGATGTGGTAGCTACTGCTTGTGACAAGTGTGTCTGCTTTGGTTTGTGTGTGAAGGTCCCAGACAGACACCGAAGGGAATGTTACTGCTGAATCCAGCTCCGCGGGTGTGAGCATGGAGCCCAGCCACTACACCAAGAGTGGACAGCCTGCTCTGCAAGAACTCACTGGTGAGTATGGAGCCCCCGGAACGTCTGTGACTGCTGGAGATGAGGCCTCCCGTATGGCCACCTGCTGGAAGGGCATAAACCCAGCCTGACTCGGAGTGACTTCACTGTTGCATTGATGGATGAGCTAAGGGAACTTACTTTATTTTTTTATTATTTTCTTTCTTCTTGCTTCCTGTCCTCTCTCACACAATCCACTTCCTTGTCCCTAGAATTGTAAGTAAGTCCCTTAATTATTGGCAGATCTTGTTTTAATACATATTCCATTTCATTCATGTAGGGGCTCTGGGATGCTCTGACACTTAACCTTGAATCTCCTTGTTTACTCTTCAGATAAAGTCACTTTTGCTATAAAACACTGTCTTCTTTTCTTTCGTGTATGGAAGCACTGATTAAAACGCATTCTTAGCATTATCCATTAATCGGAAAGAAGAATACAGCATGCTTCTTTTACCAAAAAGAAAGAAATGAGCATATCTAAATATTATTTTAATATAATCTAGATGATGATGATTAAAGGGGTATTATTTTATGTGAAAACATAAAATCCACAGTTGTCATGTAGTTAATGGCACAGATACTGATTTATTAATGTTATACTGTCACATTCTTAAAGGAGAAAAGTTAGCGTAAGAGTTAGGATTCCTCCTGCCCTGGGTTTGGAGTTACCACCCCCTCTGTCTGTCTTCCCTGTTCCCCAACTCTGTGCCCTCTCTTCCAGCAACTTCTAATCAGGGAAGCAAGCGGTACACCACATATTTAGCAGTGGTTGTGTTATTCTTCACATATCTTACCACTTCCAGAGTTGGGTTAAAAATTGAATCCATGTTTAAAATCCATTTATTAGACTAAATATCCATGACCACACCATTTTAATAGCCACATTACAGCTGTGGAATTGGTCTGCAGCCCACGTGATGGAATCGTACCCATCTCACCATTAACCCCGAGTATTAATTTCAGAGGCTCTCAGCGATTTAACTATTTCCTTCTGGTTCTTCTGGCCGGGCACGGTGACGGGGCAGCGTTTTGAGGCCATTTATAAGTGATCCGTCGTGCAGCAGCTCAGGGCCCCACATTTGGGATTGATTTTGTGCTTCCTTCTCACCAAGCTCCTTAGCCCCCTTGCAGATGAGGACACAGAGAGGCCAGCCGAAGGGCCCACTACGAGAAGGGCGTGGCGTTCGGCAACGGCTCAGGTCTCCACACGCATTCCAGCCCGTGTTCTTTTGTGCACACATCAAAGGAGCCGGGCCAGCGCTCCAAGAGCCCGGCGTGTATCAGACGTGTGTCCCGTGGAGTAGTGTGGATTCGTGTCAGACACAGGCTGGCAGAATTCACATTTGAAAAGCAAAAGCAACAGCCAGAGAGCATTCCACATCACACTTGAATTTCAGAGTGACAGATTACAGCCTATGATCTTTCACCGGTTCTTCCCTTTCTCCATGTGTCTCCTCTGCGTTGGGCCTGCACAGCCAAGGACGCGCTCAGGGAACCCGAGATGCTGTAGTTGGTGTGGGGGATGGATCTGTGCAGCCAGGCTTGTCTGATCACGCACTCTGGTTTTTGTGAAGTCTGATGGCATGTATTGTTGATGGGAATTTTGCCTGCCCTTCCTTCCTTCCTTCTTTCCTTCCTTTTTCTTCCTTTTGCTGATGGGAATTTCTTAATCAGAGTGGCTTGTCTTTACATTCAAGGAGTAGAAATCAAATGTGTGACTGTACTGTGGATCATTTTATAGAGACAGCAAATGGTAGTACAAGGTTAAATGAACTTATCCACAGCCGACCCCTTGAAATTACAGTGAATGGTAGGTGTATTTAGAAATAGATTTTTAGGGGGAACCTGGGTGGCTCTGTCACTTGAGTGCCTGACTCTTGATTTGGGCTCATGTCATCATCTCAGGGTCATGAGATCGATCAAGTTCTGCATTGGGCTCCACACTCACTCGCTCTTTCAAAAAAATAAGAAGAAAAAGAAAAAAGAAAAACAAAAGAAAGAAATGGACATTTAGGAGACGATTTGACCAATTGGTTTGTTCTTCCCCTCCTTTGGCAGGGAAGGGGGATCAGGTGGATTTTCCCATGGTGCTTTGTCATTTGCATAACATTACACCTGAGGGGGCACCTGGGTGGATCAGTGGGTTAAGCCTCTGCCTTTGGCTCAGGTCATGATCTCAGGGACCTGGGATCGAGCCCCGAATCGGGCTCTCTGCTCAGCGGAGAGCCTGCTTCCCCCTCTTTCTCTGCCTGCTGCTCTGCCTACTTGTGATCCCCCTCTCTCTGTCAAATGAATAAATAAAATCTTAAAAAAATTTTTTTTAATATATTAAAAAAAAATTACACCTGAGACCTGCATCTTGGGTGGTAAGGTTAGAAGGAAACACGCACACCTGTTTATTATCTGATCCATGAATCCCTTCTGCCCAACACTGATGAAATGTCTTTCCGTCTCTGCTTGGATATTTGGGATATTTGGGACAGGAAGTTATTCCTTCATAAGGCAGCCTTTCCATTTTTGTTGACTCTAACTAATAACAGACTTCTTTATTCTTTCGTTTCTAGTCACTGGATATAATCCATCTCCTGTAGCCCACAGATAATTTCCATTCTCTGTCATACAACAGGTTCTTCCTTAAGGCTCCTTCCTCCAAGTAAAAATCCTGAGTCCCTTCCATGTTCCACTTGTAACACCCTGACATCCCCCAAACTTGGCTCTATGTGATCAGAATGTGATGTGCTCTCCATCATGACCAGTGGCCTGAGGAAGGCTGACCTTGCAAATTCAGCAGAGCTGCAGGGAGCGTGGATTAGCTTAACATTTCTGTATATGAGCAGAAAGAGCCTCCCTTCCCATGGGAGCATGGTCGGGTTCTTATTTTGTTCAGGCGGTGAGTTGGTAGGGGACTCTTACATCATCCGTGGGGCAGAATCGGCAATTTAGAGTGTGATCACCTAAGCAAGGCAGGTGGGTTCCTGGCTTGCCTTTCTGCATTGCTCTTGGAATCTGGTATGTGTAGAGCTCTGAGGCGAGCAGACATTTCCCAGCAGACCTTACCCCCCCACACACACACATCCCACCCCAGGGAAAAGAATGAAGCCCAAATCCAACATGCCCTTCTCTTGGGCCAGGCATATAATATGCCTCTTCTTTTAATCCTCCGACTGACCCTTTCAGGGAAGGTTTTCATCCCCATTTTACAGATGGCATTCGGAAAGATCAGTGACTTACTCGAAGTCAAGTGCAGCACTGCCAAGATTCAAGTCTTTATCTGCCAAAGTGCAGATAGTCTGCGCTTTTTCTTCAACCCTACACTGACCAAGCATTTCTGGACAATAAATAGGTCTCAGGCATCCATAGATTTGTGTGACGGTCACTAAGAGTAAGGGTGAGTTACCTTCCCATGTCGAAGATCTTTGAATTTCTAAAGGAGAGTTAGCAGACAAACATGTCAATTAGGAGAGACTTGGAGAAATAAGTATAATTATTATAATTTGATATGTGATTAATTAATTTGAAGATGTGTGCCTAGACTTAGCTTTGATAAATGTGTACCGCAGGGCCTAGACCTGTCCAAAGGGTCAGTACCTTTTTGGCCTTCTTACATAGAATGTGGCCAAACTAAAGATATTTACCTGATGGCCCCAGGAGAAAGATGCAGTTACTGTCTTCCAGCGTCTCTCAGGGGAGGTAAGCAAACATTCATCACTGCTTTCCTTTCAAAACACATCCATAGATGTATTTTTAAAGAATTGGGTGGGAAATGCAAGCTGGACCACTTTTCAGATAAGAGAAAAATGCCTTCCAACTTTCTCTTGGTTCAAAAGGGGGAGAAAATTGAAAACACTTGGCATTTTCAAGGACAAGAGAGTTGGCTAGAGCCAGTTTCCCCCATAAAATCACACATCTGTCATTCGGTCCATCTGCCAGCCTCCAGGCACCACCATGTCAAGAACGACCTATGGAGGCTGTTTTGTCTCAGAAAGAAAGTCGATGCTGTACCATTTCTTAGCGGCCTGTTGCCTTATTAATGGCGACCGCTGGGAGTTCTCCTTGGCGTCTCGTGTAAATCCTCCTCGCTGCTGCCCATGTGCCCCGTGTTCTGTGTGGAGATTTCTTTAATAAGGTTGCTCAACTCTTTTGACTGAGAGAGTCACAGGCTTTTCAAGAGTCTCGATGGTGGTTCTGTGGTCTTCTCAGCCCTCCCTGGAATTACTCTGAGGAAAGGACACTTATTCCTTTTCATCATTCTTGGGGTGATTCCTGTCTCCTCTGCACTCTCTCAGCCCAAACAAAGCAGAATAGCCAGAGAACCCAGAGCAAGGCTACTCTTGAGGGCACGTGGTTTTCTAGCTTCTGTATGGCCTTTGTCTCCTGGTACACTTGACCCGGCTTGACCTCTGCCTGGCCAGGTGTCCTCCAGAAAATCTTGCCCCAAGAATGGAAGTCTCCTGTGGCCCGAAGAGAAGCCCTCGGTCCTCTTGATGGCTTCCCACTCTGCAGTACCAGCGGGCAAGGGTCAGTGCTTGAGTTGGGCTCTGTGCTCAGGGATCTCCAGACCCCAGCCCATTTAATTCCCTACCGCCGTCCTACGAGGTCATGGCTGTTACCGTCCTCATTGCAATCCTCTGGAATTGGAAGGCTAGAGAGGGTCAGCCCCTTCCCCCGAGTCCCACAGCCAGTGAGTTAGAGGAACCAGAATTTGAGACATAGCAAATATCACAGAAAGAGGCAGACCTCTCTCTGTAGGAGTATTTGTGATTAATAAGTGAAGATCTTTTAGCCACTGTGCCAGTTCCATTGACGAAGTAGGGCTGGTAGAGAGCAGCGTGTTATCGCCAGTGGGTAAGAAGATGAAATGCCTCACCTGCTTTTGCGTGGACAGAAGATGCGTCTTGGGGGGTGCTCAGACCTAACTTGTGTGTGTCTTTATTGGAGACCGTTTGAAAATGTATTTACCCCTCAGACTGGGTGCCTGGCTTCTCCTATAAGCTAGACTTCACCTTTCTCTGGAGGGACCTGGAGGGGAAAGAAAGACTTCTCTCCTTGGAATTTAACAGCTTCCTTTGGGCGTCCTTCCATCCACGTGTTCTCAGATCCTTAAGCGTCCCCCGATGAGCGTGGAACGTGGCGTGTTTCACGGTGCTCACGATCGAGCAGAGAACTAAACGTCTTAACCACCATTGTTCCAGGGGAAGACCCCGAGGCCCGGCGACTGCGGACGGTGAAGAACATCGCCGACCTGCGGCAGAATTTGGAGGAGACCATGTCTAGTTTACGGGGGACTCAGGTCACACACAGGTAGGCGTCCGCCCCGTGAATTCCTTCACGGACTTGCAGGCAGCTCGATTTCCACGCAGCTTCTCCTGTGTGTGTTCGTGCCACTGGCAGAGCGCCTTAGCTAGTAATGAAATAAATAACTTTGATCCCCCAATGTGCTAGAACTCACAGGGAATGCCAGGCGATGTGCAGAAGAGAACTGGAAGGAGTGAAAACAAGGGTAGGCTGGTCGCTCCCCCAAGCAGATGGTGCTAGATCTATGTGACAGAGAGCACGGTGGACCAGTTCCATTAGGTTTCGCTTTCCTTGCCTTTTCCGAGCCTGTACTGTGCTGTGAAAAGGAGCAGGTGAACTATATTTGACCTGTGTGATAAAGTGAATAGCTTGAATTCCTACCCAGTCTTCTGATACACAACGCTCTGTAATGTTGTTAGTCATGCCCGCATATGAGACACGTAAGGAAATATTTATAAAAACTTAGGATCACGTTTAAACTATGATTTAGTTGGATGAAATCTAGGATTCCATTGGAAACACTCATCAGGTTGTTTTCAGTGTTGAGGAAGAAGTTGAAGAGGATGCAGCCCTCAGACACCCCTTGGTGGATTTTGGCAGAATCAAGTTTTACGGTTTGTGCTGGGCTGTGATAATGAAGGCAAAGTCCTGGTTACCCCCGTGGACTCCCGAGGAGTCTCCTGTTCTCCAATTTCGATCTCTTTGATCAATGGATAGAGCAAGGAGACAGCAGGGCTTCCCCAGGGGTGAAGCACAGGGAGTTCTCTCTTAAATAAGACAGGGGCCTGAACCTTACCCCAGTGTGAGGATACTAAGGCTGTTTCTCGAATCAGAAGGAAACAGTAAAACAGCTGAGGCACCAAATTGGTTCTTCCAGAGGACAGTCAGCTTAGGGGGTGACGGTGGGGTGCCCCCCGCCAAACCTTCAGCTATGTGATGGTGTGGAGCCAACCGGTAGGCCCTGAGACTTTGTGATCAAGTATGAAACATCTTCTTTCCACCCTGATCACCAAAACTGACTTGCTGGGGGGGATGTGACTGTTGGATGGCTTTCTTAGCATGAGCTAGGATGGTCACGATGACAGCAGGGAGACCTTTGATGGCTTTTCTGCAGGAAAGACACTCTCTGCTCAATCAGAAGACCCCAGGGTCCTCCACAGAGGTACACTGACCAGCTTGCTTGGACCACAAGAGCTACAGGGCCACGAGTGTGGACACAGGAGACTTATCAATGGCCATGGATGAGCCCAGTCTCCTGACAAAATCAGATCCTTGTGACTTAATTTATTATGGACCTCAAGCCTGGGTATATCCTACTCTCCCAGCCTTTTCCTCCCAAAGTTTAGTTGTCCTTTTGGAGAAAATGTGGGAGAAGCAAAAGTGTTGGGGAAAGGGAGCTTAGAGCTAGAAAATCAGGGCTCTCCCCACCTGCTTGTCCTTGGGAGCTGAGCATGTGACGGATGACACTGGGAACTCCAGAGTGGAAAGGGTAGAAAGGGGAGCTGTGACACAGTCTGCAAGAAGGTGTAGGCCCATGGGTATGTTACAACCCCTCATTATTGTTTCGGCATTTTCTCTTTATTTTCTTGGGTTGGAAGGGAGATTCCAATAGTTAAGATCACTTAACGAAAGGAATTGGTCGTGGGTATCTTACACCATGTTTTAGGGGGAAGGTCTCTGCTGGGCTTTTCAGAGTGTCCTACGGATGTACAGCTCCGTCTTTTCATTTCTCACAAAGGAAACACGCTGCGTGGTATATCGGTGGCTGTTATTTGATCCAGTTTTGTATATAGGAAATATTTCACAGTTCTCAAAAACATGTAAAGAACATATAAACTGCAAAAGGATACTAAGCACATGAGAGTCTGTCTAAGCCAAGGCTGGCTTGATGTTTTCAGCACATTGGAGACCACATTTGACACCAACGTCACCACAGAGATAAGCGGGCGCAGTATCCTCAGCTTGACCAGCAGACCCACTCCCCTGTCCTGGAGACTTGGCCAGTCCAGCCCTCGGCTCCAAGCGGGAGACGCCCCCTCTATGGGCAACGGGTACCCACCTCGAGCCAATGCCAGCCGCTTCATCAACACCGAGTCGGGCCGCTACGTGTACTCTGCCCCCCTGAGGAGGCAGCTGGCCTCCAGGGGAAGCAGCGTGTGCCATGTGGATGTCTCAGACAAGGCAGGAGACGAGATGGACCTGGAAGGCATCAGCATGGACGCCCCCGGCTACATGAGTGACGGGGATGTTCTGAGCAAGAACATCCGGACGGATGACATCACGAGCGGGTGAGTACCTGGGGCTTCTCTCTCTTTTCCCAGAGCGGGAGGTAGTTTGGGAGTCTGTTTCTCTTTTGCTGGGCTTTGTTTAAGTTCTCTGAAGGAGATCAAACTGTCTACTTTGCTTTCTGCTCCGTCAAAGGCTGTGTGGTTGGAAGGGAACCTCCTGGGCTGAGAGTCACCAGATGTGGGCTGCTGTCCAGACTTCGGCAGTAACTTGCTGGGGGGTCTAGCAAGGCTCCAGCAGTAACCAGAGCGATGGTTGGTAACAAACCTATTGTGCTGGGGCGCCTGAGTGGCTCAGATGGTTAAGTGTCTGCCTTCGGCTCAGGTCATGATCCCAGAGTCCTGGGATCGAGCCCCACATTGGGTTCTCTGCTCAGTGGGAATCCCCCCTCGAGCTGTTGTGAGTAACCCCGCGTCGGGTTCCCTGCTTCTCCCTCTCCCTGGGCCATTCTCCCTGCTTGTGCTCTCTCGCTCTCTCCGTCAAATAAATAAATAAAATCTTAAAATGAAAACACAAAAAACCCCAAACCTACTGTATTGATCCTTGAAACCAAGCCTTGCACTAAAGATGAAAACCAGACTCTTCAGCCTGGCCTCCCTGGCCTATAGGATGTGGCCCTCACCTTCCCCTCAGAGCTCCCCGCTCTCCACCCGCCTTGCTTCCTCTGCTGTGGCTGCTCCTTCTCTCCTGTCTCATTAAGCTCGTCACTGGCTGTGCACTGTCGGCCTCACTTCTGCACCCCTATCTTTGGTCTCAGCAAGTCTGGTTCTTCCTCCTTGCCCCGCTGGCCTCTCTTTGGGGGAGCCGTCCTTGACCATTCACCTTGAAGGAGTTACGTGGCCTACCCCTTGCCCTCATCCTCTCCGTCATCATCTTACGCTCCTTTGAAAGCTTATCACTATTTGAAGTTATCCTGTTGATGTGTTTATGTTCTATTGTCTTTCGGCTCCTTGTGCTTACCACACAGTAAGCACCACGAAGCAGGGGCATCGGCTGGCTTGTTCGCCGCCTTATCCCCAGTGCCCTGTACATGCAGGGGCTTAGAAATTGTGCTGAATGAATGAACATATGCTTTGATAGATGAAGGAACAAACCCAGCCTCCCTGTGATCCATTTGCTCACACGTGAAGTTCAGGGGAGTGGTGGGATGGTGTCTGAGCCGCATCGTGGCCAAGGGTGGCACGAGGCGTGGACGCCTGACTTTAGCTCCACTTTCAGACTGCTGTGTAAACAGAAGGTGCGTCCGTTTATTTCACTTGCCTGGGATTTCTCCATGTGTTAGCCTCACTTGTACAGAAGTTCTCCACCGTCTTTTCCTCCTCTCCCATTCTAGCAGTCAAAAAAATTGCAGATAATAGAAATCAGGAAGAATAATCATACTGCTCCTTTCCATGAACGGAGTAATCAGGACCCCCAAGGGTGAGTCCGTACTTTCATAAGCTTGATAATAGCTAATGCTCCCACTGTATGCTGAGCCCTCGGCCAGGGCTTTATATACATTATCTTGTTCTGTTCTCATAGCAAGCAGGTGATATCATAATTCCCATTCTATGGACGAGTAAACTGAGGCTCTGGAGGGTTCAATAACTTGCCCAAGGTCCCAAAGTGATTAGGAGGCAGAGCCCAGAGTTTGTGGCTTCAAAGCTAGAGCCTGTTAGTACACCATCTTGCCCAATATTTTATTGCTACATTAAAATAGCGCAACTGCTGGAGTTTATTTCAAAACTACCTTTGCTTAAGTTTATCTGTCTGAGTAGGCATGTTCTTTTACTCAATGAAAATCTCAGCTACAGAGGTTCTTTGGCTTTCTTTCTGCCTGTCACTTTTAGAACTATCTTGGTGAGTGAAACCTTGGAAGATAGGAACCATCCAACCCTTTGTAACAAATTTCTGCTTTCTGGAATGGCTGACAACTCTAATGGATTGGAAATGATCTGGGTAACTAAGAGCAGCATTTTGTGTTGCTGGCTTTCCATGGCACAAAAAATAGACACTTACACCTATTACTAAAATTAAACTGCATATACTTTAACCTTTTTATTATTATTTAATAAGACTTTTGGTATCCAACATGCCTCAAGATTATCACCATCAATTCCCACTGTAATATGCTACTGAAATATTTTTTAGTTATTTTGAGATTTTCCTTCTTTCTTCTTCTTCTTCTTTTTCTTTTTTGCTATCCCATAATAGTTAATTTTACTGTCGCTTCAGTCTTCATCCTCAATAGTTGGTCAGTGTCTGATCGTGATGCAGTATTGACCATTTCCACAAGGTGGAGACATTGAAAACACCGTCCCCTGATCCTTAGTGATGTCTCAGAGAGACATTCCCAGTTTTGTTTTGTTTTGTTTTGTTTTGTTTTGTTTTAGCTCTTCAGCCATAACTTTTATCCCTATGAAACAGCACAAGTGTTTACATTTCAGCTCCTGCTTCGGGAAACCCTAGACTTTGAGCAAGTCAGATTTGTTCAGAGCAAGTGTAGATAAAATCACGGAAATGTAAGCAAACCACCCGGTGATTGAAACTGGAGAACTCTGTCTGGCTTTTCTTTAGTGGAGAGCTTTACCTTTCAAATGCGGAGGGCAGGAGCCGAAATGGCATCAAATGCTCCTTTTAGTTGTAACACTACGGAACACGAGTTAAGTAGGATAACACTTTATGGAAATGTGTGTGAGTTCCTGCTTTGAAACCATGTTACCAGTGTGCCTTCCTATGCTGAGTTCAGCTTTACTGTCCTTTGTACTCCGCTCTTCTACACATGACAATGTGTAGGTATCCAAGGTCTGGGCTCTTATTCTGGGCTTTACGCTCTGCTAAGGAAGTCATTTCGCTGAAGTGGTTGATGTGGTGGAAAGAAAAGACTGAGATGTCTGTGCTGGAGCCTTCCTCTACCCCTTGCAAGCTCTGTGACCTTAAGTCCATCACTTTCCTCCCCTAAACCTTGCAGTGCTACAATTAAAATGGTCTTCAGCTTTCTACAATTAGATACTTCTCTTTGAAGTTGTATCTGATTAATGGCAAATATCTGATGAAGACACAGAGCTTTAGACAAGGTCTAGATGTCTTATCAACCTCAAACATCCAGACACTTGGAAACAGTGAGATGATGAAAGTTTTCATCCAGATGCTTATTTGGCTAGTAGGAGCAGCCTTGATGTATGAGTAGCATATAAATCCCTTTGGGGACTCTTTAAGTAAAGTTTTTGTGAAAGTTTACAGCGAGTTTTTTTAGAATGCCTGACGTTAAGTTCTGGTTTCTGAAAACCTATGAACTTGTTTTTTTTTTTTTTAAATGACACAGTACCCCAGCTTGGTATATAGCAGCTGTTTTTTGCTGTCTCTAATTCATTGTCTCCACTGCCTGCGTGTGCACGGGCACCTGTGTGCATCACTCAGTTCTCCCTAAGGTGCGGCTGAAATGACTTTATTTCCACTGAGTTTTGCTAAGAACCTAATAGCAAATGCCTCTTGTCTTTCAAAGTGTGTATTTATCAAACTCTTCCATTGCACTTAGTATGTACTAGGCGTGTCTAAGTCCTTTACGTGTTGTTGCCGGACCTGGCCACTTCCTTTTATTAGATCGATAAATTGGACTTTGGCTGTACTTAATGGAAAAGAAATGAAAATAACAGACAAAGATGTCTCCTGCTAAGTTTTGATCTGTGAAGTCAATCTGCTTACTGATCTTCTAAAAATTCAAAGTGCCATATGGTATAGAATAAAATTAAAGGGACAGACTTAACATCCATATGTTTGGAAAGATGATTTTTTTTTTTTTCTTTTCAGAGGAGGCACTGAGTTGTATCATGTTCCAAAGTATACATCCCTTCCCAGGGGAAAAAAAAAAAAAAGATCATTTAAATGTAACATCAGAAATTTTTCCAAGATGGGGTGCCTGGGTGGCTCAGTGGGTTAGAGCCTCTGCTTTCGGCTCGGGTCGTGATCCCAGGATCCTGGGATCGAGCCCCGCATCAGGCTCTCTGCTCAGCAGGGAGCCTGCTTCCCCCTCTCTCTCTCTGCCTGCCTCTCTGCCTACTTGTGATCTCTGTCAAATAAATAAATGATATATTAAAAAAAAAAAAAAAGAAATTTTTCCAAGAACTTTTGATGGCTTCCCATGTCTTGTGGGAACAGATCTCAACTGTACGTGGGAGGCTCTTTATAATCTTTTCATCCACTGCCCTCCCTGCCTCAGCCTTGGCCACATCCCCCCGACATGTCCCACACTTCCCAATGCCCTGGGCTACCTGACATTCAGTACCCAAAGCTGTGTCCTACAAAGCTGTGTCCAAAGCTTGGCACTTCAGGACGTGGCTCTTTCTCCATGGCATTCCTTTTGCCTCAAACCCATCTGACTTATCCTAAAAAATAGACACCTCCTAAAAAAAAATAATAATAGTAATTAAAGAAATCTTCCTCTGTGATGCTGTCTTGAAGTCCCCAGCCTGAGTTACCTCTGTCCGTGTGTTTCTGGTGGCCTTGGTTCACACCCAGCCTTACGTGAACTTCTCACTTTGTGCAGGAAGTGTTTGAGAGGGGCTGGCTGGTGTCGAGGAGAGCAAACAGTCTTAAAAGGCAAATGGAGTTGAGAGTGAATCCTGGCTCTGCCAAATGAACTGGGACTAGTTGTTAACCTTTGGGACCTAGCGACAGAATTTGAAAAGTGCTTGGCAGAGTCCAGGATGCTCAAGAACCATCACGTACTCTGTGTTTGTGTGCCTGTCTGTCTCTCGGTCTCCCATCAAAGGTGGGGTTCCTGGTAGGCAGGTCGTGCCCATTATTGTTCTAAACTCAGAGACTACAAGTAGGTATTGAATGACTGTTTGTGCATGGTCTGTTCTCCAGGCCCACCCTCCCAGGACCTTGGACTTATTTAACTTGCTGTCTCCAGCTGTGAATCTCAAGGATTCTATCTACGGAATTTGGAGAAAATCAGCTTCACCTCTGGGGTCTTTTTGGTGCGATGCATAGCTCCATCTAGTGGCCAATATAGGCTTTG